GTGTTTAGGAGTTAAAGAGTTCAAAGAGGTACCACAAGGTAGCCTCCTCAACTTTAGTGGCTTTCTCTGGCCACTAATACTCATTTAAATTCACCTAGGGAGGTGAATAACATAAAAGATTAAAAAATCTCAACTGATAAAAATATTTTAATAAAAATTGTTATAATGTATTTTCAAGTAATGATTCAAATATTATTCTGATAGCTGTTATTGTTGGTTATAATAGTTAATAATATTAGTTAATAATAATTTAGTTAATAATAATAATTAATAATTATGTTAGTTAATAATATTATAGTTAATAATGTTAAAGTTGGTTATAACAGTTCATAAACTTATTAAATATCTTTAAAAAACTCAATAACACTCAGATTTACCCGGGTTTTATTAGGTTTTTTTAGGCAGGTTTTTTTGGGCCGGTTTTTTTAAGCAGTTTTTTTAATGCCAAACCTGCACCACACTGACCTAAATAACTAAAGGGGCTAAAAAAGGTCTAAAAGGAAAAAAACAATTTTAAAAGATATTATTTAGTATGTAATAAATTTAACAAATATCTTACAAACTATCCTCGGAGGTCATTGTCAAGGCAATCTGTTTCTAGTTTTTGTAAATGTTCTATTAATGAAACAGGAAGCCCAACTCATCAAAACTTGTTTCTATATTACCACGCTGCTGTTGTGCTGATAATTGTTGCAGAAGAAAAACTATCGTTTGATTAATTTGTTTAATCTCTTCTAATAATATTAGTTTTCGATGATCATTTCCTAAATGCGAAGAAAAATAAAATAAATATATATTTTTTAAATACGCATAATAATACTTTAATAAAAATAATAGTAATAATAGTAAAAAATATTTTCTATATATATTAAGTTCATATGAACAAACAAACAAACAAATTCATTATTTGCTAATGCATAAATAAATGTAACACACCTCCAACATGACAATTGACCAAATCAGGTGATAACTGCTCTACTTGCAGTGCTATAGTAAGCACTGGCGTTAATATTGATGATGGTAGTGTAGTTTGGTTGTCTATTTATTATTTAAGCTTATTTTTTCAAGCACACATATACAAACAGACAGTTTGCAAACCATAATTTAAACTTTAAAAATTGTAAAACTTTCAAGTTAAAAAAAAAAAGTGTTAACCAACCTTTTTTACTAAAAGATAAATCGTTTAAAAATAATGACCAGAGAGAGCAGATAGTAGATGATGCATTTTGAAGAGGCCTATTTTGAATTTCTATGCACAAATAATGCATTATAAACATATTTGTAATATCAAATATTTTTCAAAACAAAATATAGTATAATATAAAAACATATTTTATTTTTTTAAATGTTATTAATGGCCAATTATAATCATTAATGTTAAGAATGTTGATAGATCATTAATGATCTGTAAAATATTTATTAAAATGCAAAAATCTAACTTGATTGCAACTGAGGAGTAGAAAACTTCAGGTTTGAGGTTGAAATTGATACCGAAAATTTCTTTCCATTGTCAGATTTTGTATAATCAGAATCTGAATCGCACAATTCATTCCATAAAACTGGTAATGACCTAAATTAGTTTTTAACCCTTTTTATTTCAGAGACTACTGCTGTATTATAGGGTTATGTTTTGGTATTTTTTTTATCTTTTGCAAAAAACAAACTTTTATATTTACAATAGATAAATTTTATATTACCAATAGATAAAATGAACACCATAACATAGAATATTTTTACACATAGAATAATTTTAAACATCATGTTAACAATTAACTGAAATAATCAAATAAATTGAAGTTAGAATAAAAAAATTAACCTTTCCGCTTTCCTTTTTTTTTTGCGTCAATATCTGATTCTGTTGGAAGTTCTGAGCAGTCCTCTGCAATATCCAACTTGGAATTAGCAATTTCACATGTGCTTTTAAGATAATAAAAATTAAAACTGAATTTTTTTTGAACAAATAAGCTAAATTTAAAACCATTAAACGTAAAATAAACTTACTGTAAGAATGCAGCACTCTAACAAAAAATAGTTTCCAAATAGATTTGAGAGGTTCAGAAGATTTTATCACTTTATTGATTTTAAGGTCAGAAGTATACAACAGCCGTAAACAAATGCACTTTTCATCTTCATATTGCAGCCAGTTAATAGGTTAAATATGTGTATATATATATATATATATATATATATATATATATATATATATATATATATATATATATATATATATATATATATATATATCAGGGTTGGCAAAAACCCAGTTTTTTTTAAAAAAACCCGGCGCAGTGGTTTTTTTTAAGTTTTATTGGGTAAATTTGGGTTTTTTTGGGGTTTAATTTTTATTTTGTCCCAGTAAAAAAATTTTGTGTGTTTTTGATTCATGATATTGAAAATTAGTTTCATTTTCTACTTTAACTTTATTTAAAATATATTTTATATATTGTTATTTAATTATTTATAACAAGAATTTTTTAAATTATTTTGAAAAAGATTTTTAAATATAATTTAAAGCTGTAATAGAAAAAAAAATTTCACTCTTAATCTATGTATTGATTTATTTTAAATTTAAAAGTATTATTCTATACAATTAAAAATGTCAATGAGAAACTGGGAAAAAGAAGATTAGAGAATGGGAGGTAGTAACTGAAGTTTCAATTAAACTTTGAACTTGAAATTCAAATGAACAAACTTGTTCCTCTGGGCAGCGGCCTTGTTTAGATTCATGTTTAGGAGTTAAAGAGTTGAGAGAAGATTGTAACCACAACAAGGTAGCCTCCTCAACTGTTGTGTTGGCTTCTCCGGTCACTACTCATTTAAATTCAACTTGGGAGGGGAATAACATAAAGTAATAAAAGTCTCAATCAATAAAAATATTTGAATAAAAATTGTAATGATGTATTTCCAAATAATGATTCAAATAATAGTGAACCTGCTCTGATAGCTGTTATTGTTGGTTATAATAGTTAATAATAATAGTTAATAATAATTTAGTCAATAATAATAGTTAATAATTATTTTAGTTAATAATATTATAGTTATAATGTTAAAGTTGGTTATAATAGTTCATAAACTTATTAAATATCTTTAAAAAAACCCAATAAAACCCAGATTTTCCTGGGTTTTTTTAGGCGGGTTTTTTCGGGTTTTATTGGGCGGGTTTTTTTGGGCGAGTTTTTTAATGCCAACCCTTATATATATATATATATATATATATATATATATATATATATATATATATATATATATATATATATATATATATATATATATATATTATTATTATTATTATTGAGTTGTGTTGTATTCTGTTGGATTTAATACAGCTCTAAGTCCCATAAAAACCACGTGATCATTAGTTAATTAAAAACAAAAATATCTACCATTATGATATGGGGGCAAACAACGCGCTGATTTCAGTACATCATTACTTAAACGCCTTGAAAATGTCTTATGATTATCAAGAAAAGTTATCTAAAAAAGCTGCTAAATGTTACCAGAACAATATTTAGCGTTATATTGAAATAAATCTGTCCAAATGCTTAAAGGAATCATGGAATTCAATTAATTCATCATTTTGAAATTATTGCACAGTTTACAGATGTAGTCAATAAATAAAACAAAAATATTACATATTGATATTCTAATAACATTTAAAAATTCTATATTTTGCTTAAAATTTTCCTCAGTGTAATATTTATTCCTCATATTTTTAATATATGTGAAATAAATGTTATAAATAAAAAATATTTTTTACAGTTTAATAATGAAATGATCAAAATTACTAATTACAACAATTTGAATTATAACATCGTAACAATATTTATAAAGTTTTTTAGTAAATGGTATGAGGATTAACAATATTATGTCTTGGCTTTTAAAAAATAACATAAATGACTTTTTATCTTCATTCACGAAGGTACTCTCTAAAACCAGTGACAACAGCAGAAACTCTACTAAGGAAAATAGAACCAATTCATGCTGAAAGCATTTACAAATTAATGATTTATGTATCATGTTAACATGAAAAATAAAAATTTAATTAAAAATATAACTAAATAAATAGTAAAGAAGAAACTTACTTTGTAAGATTGTTTTTGTGACCTAGGAACAATCCTAAAGATTAAAAATGACAACATTAAAAGTGTGTTTTACTTTAAAACATGTTTCTTGCCTATTAGTAAATGATTAGAAGTAACAAGTTTAAGTATAAGCATGTTTGAGGTATATAGTAAATACAAAATTTGTGCTTAACAAGCTATTGAACATTAATTTATTTAAAAATAAAAACAATAAACACATGATTTATAAATGCTTAGTTTTAATGCAATAATATTTTTATATACAATTTATTTTTGTTATGCATCAATGCATAACAAAAATAAATTGTAACTATTACATAAACAGTTTTTACAAAAACATTTTAAACAACAAGAAAAACTATATTATATAGTTTATCTTGTTGTTTATGCAGTACATACCAATACTATATAGTATATACCAATTGAATTGTTTAACCTATTTATTCTCCTTTCATTTCACATAATAATTGGTTATGTTGGAGGGATGATTTCACTATATATTTTTTAGCACCTAACATATTTACTGAATGAACATAGTCAACATGCTTTTCAAAATTTTGAAAAGCATTTAGAATATGTTCTTTTTTTTCCTAAATGAAAAACATACTTACAATGAATAAAAATATATAGACGAAAAAAACTTAATAAGTTCAAGAAAAATTTGTGCTCAAATATTTTGACGATTCAAATACTAAACTTAACAGATACAAAATGTTTTGAGCATACTTAGACATGTTTTGCGACCAAAGTTTGTTTTTGCAAGATGAATCAGTTCTATATAAAGCATAAAGCCCCGATTTTCTTCTCTTTGGATCAGGAAGCAAAATATAAAAAATCAAGTTCGGATGACTATTAACATTAATTGAACATCAAAAACACATTTCTCCATTTTCAAGCGCTTTGTTTGCCCCAATACCATAATGGTAGTCGTTTAGTTAGTTAAAGTGACGTCACGTTCGCCGCAAGAATATATATATATATATATATATATATATATATATATATATATATATATATATATATATATATATACATATATATATATATATATATATTATATATATATATATATATATATATATATATATATATATATATATATATATATATATATATATATATATATATATATATATATATATATATATATATATATATATATTGACATTTGCAAATCATTAAAGTACCTTGTTAATACTTAGCATTTCTTTGCGCACTAAGTATGGCGTAAAAGGTATGCTCCATTTTATCTTACTTATACTCTGAACAAATTTTGCCTGGATGATGCAATATGATGCCAACTAACCCAAAACAATGTTGGTCCATCAGCAAATATAATGTAGTTGCGCCAACTAACGCAAAACAACGTTGGCCCGACAGCAAATTTAAATTAGTTGCGCCAACAAACGCAGAACAACGATGGCCCGACAGCAAAAATAACGTAATTGCGCCAGTTAACACAAAACAACGTTGACCCAACAGAAAATCCAACTTAGTTGCGCCAACTAACACAAAACAACGTTGGCCCAACGATACAGGCTGCTCGGGTATATTGGTCTTCTGCAAAAACACTATAAAAATGTTTTCGTTAGAATTAGTGCACCAATCCCCTTGAAAATATATTTATAGTTGGTTTGCTGTGATGAAGTAGACAGTGTAAGGCAATCAAGAGAAACGATTTAGTACTGAAAACACAGTTGATAATCAAAAATTCGTACCATTAAATGAAAATCAGATTTGTGTCAATTATTTTAAAAGACAATACATCTTTTATTGCAAGCGTTAATGAAAGATACAACAACAACTCAACCAAATAAGTTTCACTGTCACATCTTAACACTGTAAATTTTGTTGCATGTATTCAATTTGCGTTAATTGTCAAAACTAAATAATCAAGTTACCTTGTGACAAAGCCGCATTTGTGTCGTTGTAGGATTTTTTTATTATTATCTAATTATTTTAGGTGCCCCAAAAAATTTTTACGGTCTTATCACTGACCAACACAAGAGAGCATTTGAAAGGATGTTCACGCCTCCTTCCTTAGTGATGTTATTAAACTTGCTCAGAGGTGGCGTTGAACCAAGGATCACTAGTAAAGTACTTAAGGATGGTATTTTTTCTTTTCTTTTTAATTTGAACATTTTATTCGCAATCGTATAAGAAAAAAAAAAATTTTCGAGTTATGCGGTTCATATCTGGTACGCATTTTATATCTATTTTAAAACAACAATCGCCGATATGATTTTGAAAATAATAAAAAACCAGGTGTCCGAAACCATAAAACAGGTCACATTAAGTCTGTTTTACACCTATCATTTTTATTTTTATTTTCTATATTTTCACTTAACTTCAATAATATGTAGTAAACTGTAGAAACTAATTGGTTTAAAAAATTTTGGCGTGACATTTCTCACGTTATTTTTTGAAATTTAAAGTTTTTTATAAAGATTCTTCCAAAAAATTCAAAAAATCAGTTATCCATAATACGAGTCATAGTAGTCAGGTGTGGAAGGAGGCGTGAACTTTCTGGTTAAATGCACTTCCGCGGTGCTCTGTGGTAAGACTTTTTGGGGCACCTAAAATAAAAAACAAACAAAAAAATAAATAAATATTAAAAAAAAAAAGAAACTTAAATTAAACTATTAAAATTATTATGAATAAAATATAGAAATATCAAATAAAATGAACAAATTATATATCTTCATAAAAATTAATAAAGAATATAATGAAATACGCAAAAATGAATCTTTTAAACAAATTAACAAAATTTTCTAATTAAAAAAACACAACAATTGTCAATTGTGTTTTTTTATATTGGATAAATCCTAGCGGGCATTTTTTTTTAAAGTTACGTTCTAAATGTATTTTAAATGTTTTTAAACGTTTTCTAAACGTTCTTCTGTAAAGAACATTTAAAAGACATTTAGAACGTAAACAAATGTCCGAGGGATACTTCATGATAAATCTAAAATAAAAAAGTAATTGAATATGACATATTACCGGCAAGGCCGGCGGGATAGGGGGGTGGGGGAAGGGGGTGTCACCCCCCCCCCTCATCAATGATTTTTAGTCGGCAAATTAGACCCTTAGTCAGCAAATTGGACCCTTTTAGACTAGTTAGTCGGTAAATGTCGACCCTTTCATTATTAGTTAGTCGGTAATCTAGACAGTCGGCAAATGTCGTCATGGCAGTCGGCAAATTTTGGAAAACGAGGACCCTTTTTTTTTTATTTATTTAGACGGCAAAATGTATTGGCACCCCCCCCCCCCCCACGTGACACCTACTCGCGCCGACTCTGATAACCGGTTTTTGCATCACTGGCATAGAAAGGTTTTTAAATGTTTGTAACCAACTTTTAAATAAAAAGAACATTCCAAATTTTTTTACATTCATTTGCATGACGAAATGGTTCTTCACAAAAGAAAATAACTGTTATAAGAGAATGGGAACAAAAAACCCTTAAATCTTGCCTCCCCCTGCCCCAAACGTGAGAGCAACAAGTTGATGAAATATTTTATGTACTATTTTTAACTAGACCTATATTCATCGATAAATTTTAAATTTTATTCTAAAATATTTTAGTGTTCAAAAATTATGATCATATAAAATTTTAAGATTTACCACGCATAAGCAAAGTTTCCAGGGGACACGGACGTAAAAAAGACGTATTTTAAACATTTTATATACGTATTTTGAGCGTCTTTTGAACGTTTTAGACGTCTTTTTTAGGTCCGGTGCCCACTAGGTTAAATGGACCGAATCACCACCTCCTGCTCCTGAACTTGCGCAAAGTGAACCAGCCGGTTGTCTTTTGGGTTTTTCCATTGCATTCAGGCACCAAGAATTATTAAATGTGTAGCTCGCAAAACTTTTTTATCTAACAATGTGGCAGTTGATTGAAATGTGCTACCACCAGATATCATTCCCTTCAATAGAAATGTACCAGATATTGTCAACATTACCACTTTCAAAAAAAGCTTGACAGATTTTTTGGCTCACTTCCAAATAAAAACTGTATGATTGGTACTTCTGTTTCTCGCTTGGGAATGTTATTCACTCTATGTATATTTTATTTTATTTTTTATTTTTGTTTGGTAATCCTCTTTACTGGATTTACCATAGCAGGGATTGATTGCTTTCCCAGCTTCACGGATTTTTCCGTTGTCGGTTAAATTTAGATAAATAAAAAAAAAAAAATTGCAACCCCTCAAATTGAGGGGGGTTTAAACTTTATATGATCATAACTTTTGAACACTAAAATATTTGAATAACAGTCTAGTAGGAAATAGTACAAAAGATTAACTTAAGATAACTCATTAACTTGTTGCTTTCACGTTTGGGGCAGGATGGCTAAGATTTTAGGGTTTCTTGTTTGTTAAGATTTTATAATTTTTGTTCCTACGGCCCTGATATATATACATTTCGTTTTATTTTTTTTTTTAACATGTTTATTTTACAACTACAAAGTATTTACAATTGACCAATCACCGATTGGCGAATAAAGATATACAAATATAAATATCGTAAATATAAAGTCCAAAATAAATAAGGGATAAATCTAAAATAATGTTACATCCAACTTTGAGACATGATAAAAATAAATACATTGTACACAATAGAATAACGTGAACGTAAAAATTACATAAAGAAATAAACCTTCTATATTCTTTCAATTAAAATTATATATATATATATATATATATATATATATATATATATATATATATATATATATATATATATATATATATATATATATATATATATATATATATATATATATATTATTATATATATATATATATATATATATATATATATATATATATATATATATATATATATATATATATATATAAATAAAAGTATGATAAAAACAAGATTTGTATAAGATTGAAGAAAATAATTAATTGTTTGTTGTTATAGGAAGCTCGCAGAAAACTGGGGTCAGTCTTGTCATCGAGTACCTTCTAGACGTGTATTACACATAAAAATCAGTTGCATACGTGGTAAATATGTATGTGGTACATATATGCCTTAAAATTATTAATGTTACTATCTCCTTTTAGTATTATTTTTATTGTTTCCTTTGAAAAGTTACATTTTTTGTTTTATTAGGGTTGTTTTATATTATTTTAAATTTTTAAATTTTAAATTGGAGTTTAAAAAAACTCCTTGTAGTTGTTTAACTTGATTATTGTAGATTTTAACTTTGATTTCAGGAACTGTTCGTTGTTTAAATTTATTAGCGATTCGTTTCTAGAAATTATTTTGTTAAATAAATAGGGAACTCGACCCAGCCGGCACAATGACGTTGAAATAACGTTGAAACAACGACGCAAACCGACCATATGCCACGTTGAAACAACGTTGAAATTTGGTTGAATTGGAAATAAAATCCGACGTCGAAAACTACGACGTTGAAACAACGTCGAAGATTACGTTGTTTCAACGTTGATCTAACGTCTTATCGACTACATATCAACCATATTTCAACTTTGAATAGGTGATATATTTGATTGATACGTAGTTGATAAGACGTTAAAACAACGTTGAATCAACGTTGATTTTTGTTTTTTATTTTGGTTAAATCCAATTAACTAAAAAATTTTCTCAACTTTAATTGCAATAAAATAACACAATAAAAAAGCAATAATTTGCGCAGAGGATATTATATTTCACGTAAATTAATCAGATACAACTAAATTGCTTCAACGGACTTTATATACAATGAAATAAAATAAAATGTTTGAAAAAAAAAAGTTTTATTTATCAGTAATATATTTATCAATTTATCAATAATAACTATTATTAATAGTTCCAGAACAACTAGGAAAAAGTATGAATGTTATACATCGGGTTTATCGCCTTTTACGCGCCGACCATTTGATCTGTCGAGTGCGTATTTTAATAAAGT